CATTATAACTTAAAAAAACCCTAAAACTTTGATTTTTCATTCATAAAATTAGCAGTTTTGCCTGCATTTGATATCACCAAATCATCTGGTGCAAACTCCAAGTTTACTTTCAAGGTTTATAGTTTTTATTCCCAAAATAATATTTTACTGTTTTGGTGAAAGGTTTACACAGCAGTTTAGATTGGCAATAAACTATATCTAGACAAACTGTTCTGTGATGTTGGTTATATGACATTCTTCACAGTGCATGAACATTCTATTCTGTTTTGGTGGTTCCATTTCCATTAATCTAATTTCCTGCTTTTTTACCTTCCATCTTTGCTTTAAAGTAATTGTTGACCATTTGATCATTTTAACTACTTTTCCCCCCATTTTAACTATTTTTAAGTGTTTTCAATGACATTAATTACATTCAGCATGTTGTACAACTATCACTATCATTTATTTACAGAAGTTTTTCTTGGCCCCAAGCAAAAACTCAGTGCTGGAGTTAGTTTCTCCTTCATCCCAGACCCCTGGTAACACCGATAAACTTTTGTCTCAATGCATTTGTCTAGTCTAGATAATTCAAATATCCAAGCTTATACAACATTATTTGCTTAAAAAATAGTTAACTATGATAGACCCCAAAAGGAGCTGGTTATTTATCAGAACTGACTTATCATCTCCGTGTAGCCTAGAATTCTTTTCCAATTTTCCCAAAGGAATCTCTTTGCTCATTGATGGGAAAGGGGAGGAGGGAGTTGCCATTTATGGTTGAAACACATATTTTTGTCATTTAATCATTTTGCTGGTGGGAATAAATTGAAAGTTATCCAGCTGGATTTGTCACCTACAAGAACATTACTGAGTAACAAAAGATTTATTCAAATATATAATTGGAAAGAAATACATCTGGAATTAGTTTTATTGGAATTCATAAAAAGAAAAGTAAATCCATTAGAACTAATATCATAAGCAGTTGACTTTGTCTGAAACCAGAAATGTTAACAAATCTAAAAATCATAACCATTTTTCTTGACTATAACCCCTTGAGTTTTTCATCTCATATGGCAACTTGCTATATTACTTTAGATAGGACTTTGTTTTCAGGTATTATTTTAGAATTAGATCATCTGTAAGGCTTAATTTGGTTTCCCTTCCCTCTTCTTCTCAAAGAACAAACAAAAAGAAAATGGTAGCAGAAATGTTTCTGCCTTCAAATTATAATGTCCTGCTAAGATCAGTGAGTTAGCAGAAAGCATGCATTTGTGTTATTAGTTACCAAATCAGCTATCTAGCTTTGTCCTTAGATATCAATGTAGATCCCATTGATCAAATAATCTAGTCGTGAGTAACGTTTCCGGTGGAGGGATTCTGAAAGCATCCTCCCCAAGAGGACAAGGCCTATCACCAGGAACAGAATCCCAAAGATTAATGTTCCAATGAGGAGCCACTTTTCTAAGGGAAGATCATAGTGACTTTTAAGAACATTGTTCTGTGAGGAACTGCCTGGACTGGTCTTCTTGTTTTCCTCGGTAGTTTTATTTGTCAAAGAGGAATCCACATTTGATAGAGGAAGTGTAGCAAGGCTGTGTGCATCTGCAGTGTTCAGGATTGGGTTAGAGATTTTTCTAGAAGATATAATTTCTGGGGTGACTTTCAAGGCTGTAGGTGCCTGAATGGTGGTAGATCGAATTGCTGTTGTTGCTTGGGTGGTTGTTAGGCGATCTTGGAGTGTAATCACAGTATGTGTAAAAATTGTAGAAACCTGTTCTGTGGGAAAATGGGAAGTAATCGTTGTGGTAGGTGGAGGTGTGGTGGTCACCCGGGGTTGAGAAGTCCCAGCAGGTATCGTTGGGAAGTTGGGCTGGAGAACTGAACTTTTTGAAGTAATGGAGATGATATGTGGAGAAGCGGCAGTTGTTGTAGTTGGGAATGGAGTCATATTTTCAAGCAGCAGAGAAGTTATTTTTTGTTTTGGGGATAATTCTGAGCTCTGAGATAGACCTTTTTCTTTATAAACAGTAAACTGGGTACTTGTTTGATTATTAGTCTTGCCTAGTTTCTCCAAGTGATTTTTAGACCCAAACTTCTGAGAAACTGTATCTTTCCATAAGGTATCAGTGGGTTTTGAATGAGTGAGATGAGAGGGTCTGGAAGTGACTTCTTGTGAAGACTGCTGGCCATGTAAGAGGAAATCTTCTGGGGTGAGCTCTTGACTTGGCAAGTCAGTGCTGGTCAGAGGTGGGAAATCTGAAAACATAAAGAAAACAAAAGGCAGACTTAAATATGTCCAAAGTCAAATTGGTTGCCATGAAATCAATTCTAACTCATGGACAGTCCATGTTCTATAAAGTCTTACAGAACTTTATAACTCTTTGTAAGTTCAGAGCATGTTCTTGAAAGTTCTATAGTTTTCAATAGCTGATTTTTTTTTTAAATAAAGACTGCCAGTCACTTTCACCACCCATAAATTCCATTTCCATATAAATTAAGAACCACCAACACATCAGTTTGTCCAATAAGTCTGCAATCTGCTGATATCTGCTGTTTCACTGAACCTTTTATGAAATGGAAAAATACATATTGCCAAAGCAGTAACAGTACCTCCCTTCTAGAAGTGATGGATTTATTTCTAGGATGATAGGACAGAAGAAGACAGAAATGTGTGGAGGAGGAGCAGGCAAATGAAGGAAGAGTGAGAATGCTTAAGGAAGGAAACAGAGAAATTCAACCCCAGCAGCAAGAGGCTGGAGGAGATGGCCAGGGAAGAAAGCTGGACAGAGGTGATGTGGGCTGGAAGAACTAGACTGGCAAGGAGAAGCTTTTGTGAGGCCCAGTCCTGCAGGACATGACAGCATAACAACAGGAGTCAGATAACAACAGGGAAGCTAGCAATCCTAAAAAGAGATTTCACAATAGGAGCAACAGATGAGAAACAATATGGGGAGAAGAGGCAAATCTATGTGAGGGTAGTTTTGACAGGGAACAGGGAAGGAGTCAGGAGGGTCTGATCTGCAGACACTGAGGCCAAGGCAATGGCAAAAGGCTGGTGCCACTTTCCAATCAAACACAGAGGCATGGATTTTTAGCATCACATTCAGAGAAGGAAAACAATCTTGTATTTTAATTCTCAAAGATTCAAATCTTAAACCAAAGGTTTAGATTATGAGAACAATGGGAATAATCTTTAAAATCAAGAAATGCTAGATATTTTGGCCAGATCTCTCCGAGAAAAAGCAAGAAATCAGAAACTCCTGAATCCTGCTGAGAAGGGACCACTTTCAGACCTTCTCATGCTAGAGTATTCAGAATTCAGCTCTTAAGTCACACACCTCATTTATCACAGCACAACCAGAAAAAACATGTCAAGCAGGTGCCAGGAATAATGACTTTAATTGCTCCCTATTACTTGGCTAGCAAGTTCACCTCGACGAGAACTGCAGAAAACACAAGAAATGAAGCAGAGGAATTTCCGAGCATTATTGGCTCACTCTCTCTGTCCCATTACTCTTTCTTGATTTCCCTCATCGCTGATTTCCAAACCATGTCTTATTTTCTTTTCTCTTAAACAAAGAGATTCAAAAAGAACTTCAACATTTGTACCATTTTTTGCCTACTCTCTGTCACATCTCCAAGAGATCTTTTTGCTTTTTTAACCCATCTAGGACATACGCCAGCCAACTGCGGCCTTCAGGCCAAGTCTGCCCTAGACTTGTTTTCGTATGGCTCATGACCTAAGAATGGTTCTTGCATTTTTAAATAGTTGGAAAAAATGAAAAACAAATGTTTTGTGAAATGTGAAAATTGTATGGATGAAGCTCACATTTCAGTGTTCATAAATATATTTTATGGCATACACAGTGATTCTCCTTTGCATTTACATATCATCCATGGATGCTTTTTTTAAAATTTAAATTTTTTTTTATATTGGTTTACTTACAAAGTTAGTAGACACTATTTTTCATGCCAGATCTTTCTCATTTCCTTTACCCACCATGAATGCTTTTATACTCCAAGGACACTGTATGGTCCATAAATCAATACTTTGTCCACAAAGGCTTACGGAACCTAAAGTACTTAAATTTTTAAAAAGCTACACCTGATTGCCATGGAGTTGATTTCAACTCCTTGTGACCCTCCATCTAGAGTCTAAAACTATAGCTCTTCCTCTCATGGAGTATCTGGTGGGTTTGAACCACCAACCTCTCTGTTAGCAAACCAACACTACACTATTAGAGTTCTTTACTCAAACTTAATGCTGTCCAGTCAGAACTGACTCATGACTGAGCATTCACTGGGTCTTCAAAGGCTGTAAATATCACAGGAAGAGAATGCCCTTCTTTCTCCCTTGGAGACACTGGTGTATTCAAATCATCTTTGGGTGAGCAGTGAAACTTGCGATGTACTACCCCACCAGAGCACCCTAGAGCTTACATACTAGGTGGCCCTACTTAGATAAAGTCAGCCAACTCCTGCTCTAAATATAATACTCTAAAATAGAAGCTGGATGCCCGAAATACGTCTTTGTTCTAATAATGTGAAAGAAAAGACTTTCTGACATAGGATACTATCACCTGCACACTGCCATGTTATAAACACTATCTACCATTTTAGGTAAGCACTGGTGGCACAATGGTTAAGTGCTCAGCGGCTAACCAAAAGGCAATTTTAGCCCAATTATAGTCTAACCTTATGGGGCAGTTCTAGTCTTAGGGGCTCTCTGTGTTGAAAACTGTGGCAAAAAAACAAGAACAGCATTTTTAGGTAGAATCAGATATTTGGAAAGAAAAAATAATCCAGTAGGTATCAACATAGTGAATTTAAAAGCTAAAAAAGAGAAAGACTTAATAAGTAAATGTTCTGTGATGTGTGTGAAATCAGAACCAAAACAAGGCCATTGGCAAGAATGGCCAAAACAGATATTTTCCTTCTCAAGAATACAAGCTCACAAATAAACCAAAGCGAGGTCCAGCCCTGTTTCTTGATAAGATTCATCTATTGGCAAGGATCCCAGAGCCAGGCAGGGCTCCTTCACACCTGCTCCATTTAGCTCCCATTGATGTCTGCGACTGAGGCGTGGTGTTTTCATGGGAAACAGCCCTCTGCTTTAACTCCACTTCTGAGTTTCATTTTCAAGTGACTTCACTGAGTGAAAAAATTTGGGACAGACTATTACTTGCAACCAGCTGAGCAAATAGACTCCCAATTTATTCTATTTCTGAATTCCTCTATTCTTCCAGAATTTAGTAAAAAAGACATTCTGCAAAGCTTGGGGAAGAAAGAAAAAAAAAAAAAGATACCAAGCTATAGTGTTTTTGTAGAATATGAAGAGTCCTCTCTCATTTTTTTTTTCAGACTCTTAGCCTGAAAATAATAGTCAATCAATCAGTTACAGGAAATAGGGTTCATCCAGGAACAAATCATTAGACAGATCTCTAAATTTAATTTCACTTCAAACAGGACGTAGATAAGTCGTTTTAATGGGGGCAATCTCAATCTATGAACACATGCAGATTAATAAATAAAGACTCTGAATTACAAACACAATTTGTAAACATCCTGTAGATATAAACAGTCCACTGTACTTTATGTCAAAGGTTAGTCTCACTTGCCCCTAGATGGCACATCAACTTGTTCTGGGCTAATCTCGCCCCCTGGTGGCCACTACAAACAATTTTCTCTGTTCCCCGTTTCATTACTTTCACATATTAAAAAAGTTTTATACCCAAGCCAAGTTCCCTTGCTCCTATTTCCATTGGGGAGAATCCTTATCATATATTTATCCTTTATACAAGTATTAAAAAAAGTATTTTGAAAAACAAAAAGCAAACTGAACTATCATTTCCATCATCATACCCTATTGTTGTGTACCCTCAAGTTGGCATGATCCTTTAGCAAGTTTTCAGAGGCAGTAAATCGCATAAGAGGAGACTGCCTGGCTTTCTCTCACAGAGCAGCTGGTGGATTCCAATTGAAGCCTTTGAGTTGGCAACGCAGCTCATTAAAACTAGGCCACCAGAGCTCCCGATATATCATATTATAGCAATTGTTACTATTTCGGCAAACAGGTTGGGAGGAGGGAGATTTATTTTCATATGATTGCAAAATAATGAGGTAGTTTTCACTTGAAATTCAGTTAAGAGTTCGTTTATTTATAAACAGCAAAATTTATTTTTATTCTCTGCATTCTATTCTGTCAAGTAGAACCAACCAGTCCCTGATAATTGGACATGTTTTGGCACCTCTAATTTTGCACTTTTTAGACTAATGATACAATAAACAGATTGACATGGACAGTTTATTCCTGTTTTAAAATTTTGTCATTCCTTAGTATGTAGGTGCAGCTACAGAAGTAACTACCTATAATCTTTTTTAACATTGTGTATTAATTATGCAATATACAACAGATATTAGAAATAAGCACTGAAAGTGGAAGAAATCACAGAATGCAGCAGAAAAGGTAATACAACTAGGCAACAGAGGGGAGATATGATGTCCACTTTTCAAAATATGGAAGGATCTAGAGAAGATCAGATCTTCATGTCAGTGTCTGGAGCTTTGACCTCTCCTTGGAAACAGACTGGGATATTCAGTCCCTGCTGGACACTACTTTGAGGGCTCTGCAATGTGCAGGATGATCAAAGAGCAGGAACAGCCAAATCCACAACTACAATATCGATTCTCAATGCTTTTTCCAAAAGTATATTTACACAGAGACAGTAAAAGCAAAGGTGTCACAGAGAATAGGGGCAGCCTCCATGGATGCTGAAGGAGAGGATATGGCCCTGTCCTTAGAAAAAAGCCTTGAGTGCTCTGAGAAGTCTAATTTGTCCTATGCCATATCTTTTCATATTGATGTTTACGTCACTTTTTGGGGAAACTTTTACAGATGATCATGCTTCATAGTCTTTTTTAAGGGAATGTTTGATACATCAGGTTTCCATGGAAAAAACTCAGACACAGCCTTCCCCAGAGGATGAAGCAGTCAGTACTCAGTCCTCAAAGTAACTCACTGCCCAATCCTCAAACTGCTTTTCCTCAATTCTTTACTGTCTAATTGAATCACTCATCAAAATCTCGGCCTCAGTATCTCTTTCTCCCCTAACTCTTGCTTATAAGGGAACTTGAGTCAAAAGAGAACTTTGATTCCACTCCACTGCTCAATCTTCAAACTGCTTTTCCTCAAATCTTCCCTATCTAATCACTCATCAAAATCTAGCCCTCTTTATCTCTCTTTCCCCCCCACCCCCTTACCTTCTATCAACAAATCCTCCACTCTATCAACAAGTCTTGTAAACTCTACCTCCAGCACAGTTCATATGTCCATCTCCTCTCCTCTGCCGCCTTCCATGTCCACATTACCATCACTCATCTTGATCTTGCCATACCTTCTAAATGGTCTTTCCACTTTGCCTCTTACTACTGCATCTTTGTCCATTCCCAAAAGAGTAGCCACAGGGATCTTTGCAGAATCACATCTGTAACACTGTGTCACATGCCTACTTAGAAACATCCATTCTTTCATAGACCCAAAACAAAAACTCTCTACCCTGGTTTCAGAGCCCTGATAGCACAACAGTAGGACACCTGACTGCTAACTGAAAGGTTGGCTGTTTGAACTCATAAGGGGTACCACTTGATGATTTACTCTGGCAACAGTTATAGCCTAGAAAACCCAATAAGGCAGTTCTACTCTGTCATGTGGGATTGCTAGAAGTAAAAAAATAATCTTAACAGCATCTAAACAACCCCCCCCCCCAGGTTTTGCAAATCTTTATGTGATGTGGCTCTTCTCAAGCTCTGCTAGTTCATTATGTGTCTGCCATGCTGGGATTAGAATTTTTATTCCTCAAACATTTCACTATCATTCTGCCTTAGGAGCTTGATGGCTTTTCCCTCTTAGGGGAAAATATTCCCAGAATTCTCTCACACTTGCTCCTTCTTGGTGTTCGAATCTCATCTTACACATAATCTTTTTACAGGTTTCTCTGTGGTAATCTACTGCATTGTCCTACTTCAATTCTTTGCACAGCATTAATGATTACATTATAGTTTTACTGATTTTTATTCCTTATCATCTCCCCCCCCCACTAGAATCTAAATTCTAAAAGTGAGAGCCTTGTTTTTATGTAATGTGTTTGGCACATTCCATCATGTGAATGTACCACACAATTTCTCAATCCATTCGGTGGTGGCTGGACATTTGGGCTGTTTCCATGTTCTTATCATAGTGAATAACAGTTATGAACACTGATGTACAAATCTCTGTTTGTGGCTCAATTCTTAATTCCTTGGTGTATATTCCTAGTAGGAGTGGCATCCACTTCCTAAACCACATGCCTCTGAAAACTCAGGGAACTTGACGAAATGACAATAACTATAGAAAGGCTTCATGCCTTTTGTTCATAGGGTCGTTATGAGTCGTGCTCAATGTGACGGCAATAAACAACAACAACAACAACAATATTCTTAGTAGTGAAATAGCTGGACCATTTGGAATACTATGCAGTATTCAGGTGCAACAGTTTTGAAAAATACTGTGTAACTTGGGAAAGGCTGGAGAGCATTACGCTGAGTGCACTAACACAGTCTCATAAGAACAAATACTGCATAAGACCCTTACTGGGAAAAAAAGGATAACTAGTAAAATATGCACAGGAACTCAAGGGGGGAGGACGGAGGAGCGAAGAGGTGAGGATACACTAGAGGTGAAACCACAGGGTTGCATAGGTTGGTAGGTGGAGGGAGGAGGGGAAGCAAGTGGGAAGGATTTGGGCAAAAAAGGTAAGGACGGGCAAGGTCCAATGGTGACTAATTTTATAAAATGTAAGAATGATTATATGAAATACAATGTGAATGAAGAATAGTGTGAAACACAATGTATATAAGCTTTATAAGCAAACCAATTTAAAAAAAGTGTTTGGCACTAAATTGAGCCAGACAATCCAATTCAATTCTGTTTTCTCACTAACTACAATTGCAATGGTGCTTCTTCTCACCAAAGCTGCCAGTGCTCACAAGTCTTCTAGACTGCTTCATTCTTGGCACATGCAAAATACATTCACTCTGTAAAACTATCCCAAAGGCCTTAAATGCATTCTAAGCTCAAAATCTAATCATCTGAACAATCTAAATCAAATATGAGTGAGACTTTAGACATATCCCATCCTGGGGAAACTAATCTTCATTTGTGAATCTGTGTCCCTCAGGGTCTAGACAATAAATTCAGTTTGATATAAAAAATGATTATGTAACACTTGAAACTTAATAGCAAATATACAAGAGTTGTATGTATTGATACAGATCTTACCCCTTTTAAAACAGGTTAATTCTAGAGATCTGGCATCCTGGACATGTAGTTGGCAACCTTTAATCCAGAGTTGCCAACATTGTTCTAAAAAGTTGTTTCCAAATGTTTTCATAGTCTGTCTGCTTATTTTATGAATGTTTAAAAAAAATCAAAACACATGCAAAAAATGTTATTTTGAAAAGTGGAAAATGCAGGGAATAATGTTGTGTTGTTGTTATGTGCCATCGAGTCGCTTGCGACTCATAGCGACCCTATGTACAACAGCCCTAAACTCCGCTCTGTCCTGTGCCAATCGCACTGTCTCTGACACTCCCATCCCAATTATCCCAGTCACTGAATCAATCCACCTCATAGAGGGCCTTCCTCTCCTGCGCCGTCCCTCCACCCTCCCAAGCATGATGTCCCTCTCCAAGGACCGGTCTCTCCTCACATGTCCAAAGTATGTCAGACAAAGCCTCAGAATCCACCCGGTTTAACCCTTTCCAGGACAAATCTGTTCCTTTTCCTAGCAGTCCATGGTATTCTCAATACTCTTCTCCAGCACCACAGCTCAAGGGCATCAATTCTCCTTCTATCCTCCTTGGTCATTGTCCAACTCTCTGATGCATAACAAGTGATTGTGAAGACCATGGCCTGTATCAAATGCACCTTAGTCTCCAGGGAGACACCACTGCTCTTCAGTACTTTGGAGAGGTCCCTAACAGGTGACTTTCCCATGGCAACACAGGGAATAATAAAGAATTTTAAAAAAACAAAAAAAAAAACCCACACCACTCATATTAACACTAGAGAGCTCTGGTGGTAAGAAGCCTAGTGGTAAGAAGCTGCACTGCAATTCCAAAGGCACAGGGTTTGAATCCACTAGCTGCTCAGTGAGAGAACAATGGGTATTCTCTGCCCGTGAGATTAACTGTCTCTCAAAACCCAGATGGAGGATCAGCTCTGGGTCGGTTCTGACTCAATGGTACATAACAACAACTGAATTTTATATCATGATGTTTTTGGTTATGCCTCCATATTTTTAACAATGTTATTTAGATCTGTAGAAAGTCTTTCACATAAGCCATATCCCTAAATAATTTAAATCACAAAGGTGTAGCATTTTCATTACCTCTAATTATCCTGTAACTCATAAGCCCCTTTGCTGGTTTGAGTGGACAAGCTTCCTCACTGGGACAGAAAAACAGGTAGCAGTTGGGGTGTCCAGTTGTTTTTCGAGTGTCGAATATCATCAAGTTACACACTTTGTCTCCTACAAAGAGAGGTTTCATATGCATTATTGTGAAACAGGATTTTATAAAGAGTGTGGCAAGTAGGAAGAACTTCATTTATTCTCATATCCAACACAAACACTTTTGTTTGCTATCTCGCTGACTGCTGAATCATTTCCCTTAATCACTGAAAGCAATTTTTAAAGTCATTGGGTTTTATAACATGAATAAAGATAATTTTTGGCAAAGTAAATTTTTCATAATACATTTAATTCTTTAGACATAAACCTTCTATTTGCTAAAAATATCAAGCAAAATATACACAGAAATAATGGTTTTGCAAACTTATGTTACAAGTTAGAATTGAAGAAGTGGATTTAACCCTAACAATTTCATGTACTCTTTATCTAGAAAGCTTTTCCGACACTGACAAACAATGTTGCTCTTCTTAGGAGCCTTGGATTTGGTTCTGACTCTCTGACCCTCTGGCCACCAGAATGATACACTGCCCTCCATGCCACCCTCACAATCGCTGCAGCCCTGGTGCCCACAGTTATAGCCTGGCCTTCTGAGGTCAGGTTACAGACCTTGTGTCATTCTCTAAAGGGATTTTAGTGTATGGAACCCAAAGTGTATCTATTTTTTAATTCTCCCTTGCTATTTATTCCTCATCACTTATGCTTTTCTCATTTTCTTCCTTACATTTAACTCTTAACTTCCATTTCAGGCTTCTTTTTCTTTTCCATTCCGTAGAAATTAAGCTTTCTACTCACATGGCTTACAGTTGGCTTTGGCCTCAATATGGTTACAGAGGTCTCCCATGTTGGTCTATAACCCTTAAACCAAAAGAAACCAAAATTCCACTGCTATTAAGTTGATTCCAGCTAAAAGTGATCCTGTAGATCAGAGCAGAACTTCCCATAAGGTTTCTAAGGCTTTAAATGTTTACAGAAGGAGACGACTAGATCTTCCTTTCTCTGAACACTTGGTGGGTTTGAACCATCAACTCTTTGGTTAGCAGAAGAAATCTTTAACCATTATCCCACCAGAGTGCCTCTTGAACTAAAATGTTGTTGCTGTTAAGTGCCACTGAGTTGACTATAACTCACAGTGCCCCTATGGACAACAAATCTGAACCTTGTCCCATCCTGTGCCATCTTCACAAACTCTGATAAGTTCAAGTCCACTACTACAGACACTGTCTCAATCCATCTTGTTGAGACTCTTGTTACTGATCCCTCTAGGGATCAGTATATCTGTAGCGAAGGAGAAAGATGGTTAATCTCCTCCTGTGTGACTTACAGCCTCGGAAAACTCTATGGAGGGTCAGCCTTGTAGTAATGAGCTGAGTTGCTGATATATGAAGGAAGATTGAAGACTGTCTTGGTTCTTAAAAAACTGTTGAGTCAGAATTGCACCATAGCCAGGTTTTCAGAAGCAGTAAATCACGTGGGAGGAGACTGTCCATCTTTCTCCTATGGAGGCTTAATGGTAGGGAGTTGCACTACCAACTGCAAGGAAACTGGGTTTGAATCCATCAGTTGTTCCAAGAGAGAAAGGCAGGAAGTCCTCTCTCAAACGATTTACTGCCTTTAAAACTCATTGGGGTTTCAGTTATATGTTGGTTACGACTTGACAGTACACAACCACAGGCAGGCAATGGTTTCTAGAGGAATACATACTAATTATTACAAAGCATGCTATGCCAGCCAGAGAACCACTTCTAATTAGCCACCATCAGAGATCAATTTCTGCTCCCTACTCTGTTGTCCCATGGGAAATAGGAGTAAAAAAAAAAAAAAAAATCTCTGAAGAGTTTTCATTTTGTTCTCTTTCCACTATTCAGATCACAAAAGTTAGTTACTCTTGCTCTTGCTTGTTCAATAGTGTGAAAATTCTGTAATGTTATTTCTTTTTGGTACTTTGATAAATGGGAAAGGTTCACAAGTTTTTCATATTGTATGCAAAATTGTTTATCCCTTATATTTATATGATTTTTTTCTAGAGTCCATGACTATGATTAAATTATTAAAATGCCTTGTGAATCCTGGATTTGCTTACAACTAAGCAGTAACAGAATTTTTGCTTATAGAATAAAGTAGCAAAAGGTCTTTTAAAAAACAAAACAAACCACAATCTAAAAGTCCATGATGGAACAACGGAAAAATGCAGGATTTCCTGTGCTGCCAGGAAACACTCAAGCTCACAGCATTCAGTACTGTTTGCAGGTGATATTTGTATTTCAGAGTTGATGTCAACATTTATGGGAACACTAAAAATTTAAAGAATATTCTGTAACTTCCTTAAATTACTTCTATAAATCGTGCCCAATGGCATATTTAAGTAGAATTTTTATTTTCAATATCCTAGATGCCTTCTAGAACACTACATCAGTATTTTTCTACACTTTGTCCGAGTCACTGATGGTGACACACACCCTCACTAGTCACTTTCAGCTTAGGGAAGGGAGGGCTCATTTGTTAATACATTTTTATTGTTGTTAGTGGTCATGAAGTAGCTCCCTAAATCATGGCAATCTCATTTATAATGGACTGCATCATTTATATGGTCAGTTATGGCTGGAGCAGTATAATAATCCACAGGGATTTCATTGGCTGATTTCAGAAATTGCCAGGCATTTCTTCCTATTCTGTTTTTATCTCGAAGCTTATTGCAACTTGCTCAGAATCTTAACACCATGCTAGTCTCCACTGGTAGTAGACAGGTGGTGGCTGGTCATGTGATACACTGGCCAGAATCCAACCCAGGTCTCCTGCATGGAAGGTGGGAATTTTCCTTCTGATCTACCACCATCCCCACTGTAGGTAAGTATTCCAAGTGATTCTGCCACTTAATCTAATAATAACAATTGGTATACACTATTTGGGAGCAGAAGTGGCATCCCCTTCTTAAACAGCATGCCTCCAGAAACTCTATGAACTTTGATAAATGATGGTTGTAGAGGGCTTCAGGCCTTTTGTTCATAGGGTCGCTATGAGTTGTGCTCGACTCGAAGTCAATCAGCAACAACAACATATACTATTTAGCTCCACCAACAGCTTTTTATGTCACACAACAAATGGAAATGTACAGATGCCAAAAGATTTACCTGCTATGTCTTTAGTTGAGCAGCATGAATTAATGCAGTCTTCCTGAGTTAAAGTGTATATGGGCTCATTGCCCCTGATTCCCTTAGAAAGAGATGACTGGATGTCAATGACAACATCTTGTAGACTCTTGGAGGAGCAACTCTGGCTGGCACACAGCCTTAGTGATAGGAAGGCAATTACTAAAAAAATACACATTGAGCTATGTTCTTCCCTGCAAAACATTTTAAATTTCTGTTTAGTCTTGATCCTCAAAGGTCAAGTATGATCATCCCTCTGGTCTTAGTTTGCTTCAAGAAGGACTGCACAGATGATGAAATTTCTTTCTAGAGCACAAAACAAAAAAATAATCATCAATGAGTTGTGTTTGTTTTAGCAAACCTAGTGAAAAAAAAACATTTCATTTCCTTCAAAAGCACAAAGATGAACAAGTATTTTTCATTTATTTGAGACAACTTTTCATTACAAATTGGCAAATAATAAATACAAACATGATATTCCTGCTTAAAAGCATTAATGGTTTAAAGATAAGAGTCTATGAGGAAATGCCTCTGAATTCTTGAGCCTTCCTTCTTCTTGCTTCTCCTCTTCAGATACAGATGGGCAGATAAACACTCTTTACTCACTGATGAATGGGGGATAACAGGTTTGAGCATATTTCCTTTCAGATCCAAAACTTAGCATTGTGCTAAATGAAGTATATATATTACCCTAACCTTTTGATTAGCTCTACATAAAGGCTGTTTCCCTATTTTATAGATGAGGAAACAGGTAAGCTTTATTTTTGCTAACTGTTCTTAAGTACCAAATCATAAATAGAAAACTATTATAATCAACTTTTAAGAATTTATAGTGGCAAGAAGCTGCACTGCAATCCCGAAGGCACGCAGTTCAAATCCACCAGATGCTCTGCTGGGGAAGGACGGGCCATCTCCTCCTGTGACAGTTGGAATCCGATTCGACAGTACACAACAACATCAATAAAAATAAACAAATAAAATTTTTTAAAAAGACACTTTAAAAAAAGAATTTATTAGTCCGCAAGGGAAATATTTTGGCTCTGCTGATGGAAACCTTAGGAGCAGCTGCTCTTTCTTTACTCTGGTGGTTCTGTCTGTAGCAAGTTGCATAGTGAACCTAAAAGTGATGCTTTTCTGGCAGTTCAAATCCACCCCTAGCTCCTTGATTGAAAAGTAGCAATCTCCTCTCATTGCTGTTGAGGCTGTGGAGCAACATAAACCCTTAGATACTGCTGGTAAGATTGCTAAATGGTACAGTTACTTTGGAAGAAATTTTTACAAAATTAAACTTAATCTTAGTATATGACTCAGGATTTGTGCTTCTCAGTACTTACCCAAAGGTTTTGAAAACTTATGCTCATGCAAAAACCTGTTTATAAAAGTTTTATTCATAATTGCACCAAACTATAAGCAACTATGGTGCACCTCAATAGGTAAATTATCCATTATCCACACAATGTGGCACATCCATAAAATGGAACATTATTCAGTGATAAAAAGAAATGAACTATCAACCCACAAATGGTATATAAAATTGGCCTAATGGTAAGGAGTTGTGCTGCCAACCCAAAGGTACCTGGTTCAAATTCATCAGCTGCTCCAGGGGAGAAAAATGGGCAACCTCCTCCCCTGTGACTTACTCTGAAAATCTGCTATGGGTCAGATCCAAATGACCAGCACAAAACAACAACAAAGTGGAAGAAGTCAGCTTTAAAAAGGCTACATATATACTATAGAACATTCTGGGAAATGCAAATCTAGAGGCTATAAAAAGATCAGTGGTTGTCAAGGACTGGAGGAGAGGGATGAACAGGTGAAGCAGATTTTTTTTTGTGTGTGAAGCAGATTCTTAGGGCTGTAAACTACTCTCTAATAATTGATAGATAATATACATTTTTATAACCTATAGAAGTATATAATACAAAGAAATGCTAATGTAAACTACAGATTTGAGTTAATAACATAAAAGACAAACTACTACTGATAACTATATATAAACTATCTAGTGGAGAAATGATGAAAGTTATACAGGTGTTCAGGTCTTTTGTTCATAGGGTCACTATGAGTTGTTTATGACTTGATGACACTTAACAATAACAACAACAGTAATAGAATACACATGTAATATCCTCCTTGCTCTATTGTGTCCAACTTCTAGAAATAACAATAATACTGTTTTTCACCTGCTAGTCTCTATGCTAATCACTCTTATGTCTATCAATTAATACTTCCAAAACTCCTGAAACAGATCCCACTATAATGCCCAACTTTAGTTTTAAAAGACAAACAGTTGTGATAAACTATGCTCCTGTTAACCTAGTAAATATAAATGTTGTTGGTTTTAGCTGCCATCAAGTCAAGTACAACTTCATAGTGACCCTATGAACAGCAGATCTAAACACTGTCCTATCCCGTGCCATCCTCACAATCTCTTAACACACACAAGCCCATTGCCGCAGTCACCATGTCAACTCCCATGGTTGAGGGCCTTCATCTCCTTTGCCACCCCTCCAACTTCCTAAGCATGATGTCCCTTTCCAAGGAATAACTTCTCCTAGCAACATGCCCAAAGTATGTGAGACAGAGCTTCATCTAATAATTGACATAATTTTGTGGAGTGTACAAGTCCCTTGTTTGCATAAGCATCTTACAATCAGCTGCTCACCTAAAAGTTCAGTGGTTTGAACTAACACAGCTAGAAGTTCTGACAATCTGCTTCTATAAAGATTACTGCCAAGAAATCCTCATGGAGAAGCTCAACTCTATAATACATGAGGCCACAATGTGTTACAACTGACCTAATGACAAGTTTTGGTTTTTTGCTTGAGTGTAAAAGATAGCTTGAAAACATTCTGTGGTTTCTGTTAAGTCCTGGTAAAACACTCAATTGCTAACTGAAAGGTCAGATTAGAAAATACCCGTCTGTGCTGTAAGAGAAAGATGTGGCAATCCGCTTTGATAAAGATTTACAACTTTGGAAACTGTGGAGCAGCTTGTTGTCCCATAGAGTTGTTATGAGCCAAAACCTACTCAATGGCAATCACATTTGAATTTGGTGACTTCTGTGATTAGTTGCCATCAGATCAGTTCCAATTTATGTTGTTATTTCGGTGCAGAATAGAACTGCTCCACACTATACCCAAGGCAGTGCACTTTAAAAAGCACATCAATCGATCTGACCTTCAAAGATTTTCTGGGCAGATTGGAAGTCCCAGTTTTTTGGCTAGTGGTAAAGCACTTAAGAATTTGTGCCACCTGTGATTTCCACTCTTAGCAAATGACAGGTGTTGCTAATACTACTGTGGCTTGTTGCCTATATCCTTCCTGATGGAAGAGATTCAGTTAGAGATTAGTGGGGGGGAAAATAACATTTTCCACGCAAGTTAATAGACTTCTTTAGTGTTGTCCATGAACAACACCTTAAGAATTTTAGCATACAAACTACCTACCGTGCTCTCATGGTCTATCAGGCCAATACTTTACTTTGAATGGATTCTGACATTGTCGATATTCAACTTTTTTTGCAAAGGAATATCAACTATGTAAGTGGATGGGGACCTACCAGGAGCTGTATTTTCAGTATGAAACATCTTTATAATTCCTGCATTGCTAGAAATACTGAAAAGTTTATTTCACTAAAGATAGTAAAAAAATAGTAGGTACATAAATACTTTTACCCATTATTTGCTATGTACTGACATGCATCAGAGGTCAGTTCAAGACCACCACAATAATGCAATTCACATCAATGTTTTGGTGTCATGGTGCATATAAAATATTTATTTACACTATTAAGTCTACTAAATGTGCAACAGCATCATGAAAAATAGGTGTGCAACAGCATTATGGAAAAGCTTAAAATGTCAGAATTAAGCAAGAAACGAGCATGTGCTATTAGAAAAATGGCACTGAAAGGCTTACTCTAGGCTGGGCTCCCATAGGGCTTCAATTAGTGAAGAAGAAACAACAAAACCCCTGCAATATTTGTTAAGAACAATAAAAAGAAATTTACCTTAAGCTCCTATTTAAGTCTTTAAGGTACAAAGTCAAGTTGAATTATGTCAACAAGAGAAAAAGGATAAAAAAAAAGAGAGAGAGAGAGAGAGAGAGAGAGAGAGGATCCATGTAGGAGGAAGAGAGTACCTGAGCTTTAATGCCTACTTAACTATAGTTACTAAACCATATTTATATAAAATTATTCAATACTGGAAATTACTTTATTCTTAGCATGACTTAATCTAATAGAACGCTAAAATTGTACACACACCCCACACACATACAAACATACCCAAGAGAGCATTAGACAATTAACAGGCTCAATAAGGAATACTTGAGACAAACAGTATTTTTTTTTTAAAAAAGATGGGAACGATTTCTTTCCTTTCAGGTTATGTATGTTGTTTACTCATCCATTCTTCTGTATCTCCTTTTGATGCCAACCCGAAGCCCGTGCCAACTATGACAGGTGCTTCTGCGCCTCTCTGGAGCTCCCCTGTGGGGTTCTGCCGCGATGCAGAGATCTGATCAGCCCTTTATTCATCCCAGTTGGGTCCTCCACAACCTCCTATATGGAAGGTGGAAGCTGGACACCAAGGAGGGAGGCGGGCATCTCTCCTAGAAGGTGACAACGCCGTCAAGCCCCGCGCCTGGAGGGGAGGGAAGGGGAGGACCGCCCTTACCTGACAGCAAGAGGACCCTTGCTGTCCTCCGAATGCGAGGCCAATTCAGTTATGAGAGGGCGAAGGAGCAAAGGATGCACAGCAGGGTCTAAGCGAGGAATGTCTGGGAGGCTCCGCAGCGCCTGCACTGGCCCGGCAGGTTTTATTGTTATCAAGTTCCTGCTTCCGTTGCAGCCTGTGAAAGTTTGCAGTGGGGAGGGCACATTCCTGCCCGCAAGCCCTGCAACCCGGAGCTGCTTCCTAGAAAAACAAAGCGAGCTCCCTTGGCCCAGGGAATGCAGCCGTGTGATCCTTTTCGCAATGGCTCCAGGATCCCGAGGCTAAGGATGAGCCGGGGGACCCCGCTGCCCAGACCCCACTCACCTAATCCGGGGTGGGCACAGGGATGGCTCGTGGATGCGACCCTAGTGGTTGCGCAAAGTTCTGCAGCTGGCGCCTTCTCACATCCTGGAGGCGGGAGCCCGCGCACAAACACGTGGTGAAAAAGTCAACCGCAAAAATGGATATGGTGAGAAATAAATAGGCCTGCCATTCCTGGTTCTAGCTTCCGAGTTTCTTTTCTGGAGGCGTCCACATTTTTTTTATATTCATAAATTTGTCTTCCATTTTACTTGGCATGTTTATGAGAATGATGATTCCTGTTTTGATAAACTGGAAGTATGAAGGGTCCTCAGAGTAGCCATTTCTTACGGGAAATTCAAGAAAGGAAATGGCTGGTGCTCATATTACTGAGATAAGAGGGGGAGCAGCTGGGATAGAGGGACAGAGAGGAAAACAGATGGCAAAATGTTTTTGTTTGTTTTTGAAACGTCAGGCATAATGATGAAATTGTTGAGGTGGCCACTACAGGACTCTTGCTTAAATTCTAATTGCGAAATTATTAAGGTGCTCCTTATTCAGGCCAGGGTCAGTTTCAGTCATTTGCTGTGCATCTCAAGAGCTGGACAATGAATAAGGATGGCAGATGAACTGATGCCATTGAACTGGGTTTTCTTGGAGAAGAGTACTGAATAGCCCATGGACTACCAGAAGAACAAACAGATATGTCTTGGAGAAAGTGCAGCCGGAGTGCTCCTTGGAGGCAAAGATGATGAAATGTCATCTTACATACTTTGGGCATATAGCTAAGAGAGATTATTCTTTGATGAGGGACCTCACACTTGGGAACGTGGAGAGTCTCCAAAAGAGAGAAGATCCTCAGCCAGATGGTTTGACCCAGTGAAAGTGGCAATGGGTTTGTGTGTGTCAGAGATTGTGAGACTGGCACAGGATAGGGCAGTGTTCAGAGCTGTTGTTCATAGGGTCGCTCTGAGTTGAATACAACTCGTAGCACATAACACGACCACCACCAGCAGCAAATAAGAAGCAGGCATGAAGTGCCAGTGATTCTTACACCAACTGGACCTACAGCAGCAGCTGTGGCTGAAGCAGAGGACCAGAGAGCACAACTGTGAAAGAGCTGACCTTGGGACTGCTACTCTCAACCAGAGCTAAGAGCCTAAGCCTAAGTTTGTTGGATAACTGAAAGGGGGGGAGGTGAAAGAAGTGGGAGCCATAATTGGCAGGACCAAGAGCTTTGTAACACTGACCTGAAGCTAGGAAGCTCAAGGCTGAGGTTCCTGTGAGCACATTGCAGGAGCTGTCCTGAGTGATTGTATTCTGCTACTAACCTTACTTATAACCTTTTAATTTCCCTATGATTAGCTATGAGCTATCACAGTGAATTGCAGACACCATAGAGGAGTAAGATTGTGTTGGATAGAATAGAAACAGTTCTCCACTATAGAGTTGGTAAACGTCAGATATGGTCATATCCATGCAACTGCTGCTCTTTTCACACTCCCCTTATACATACAAACAAATGCAATCTTACTAAACCTCTAATACAACTCAATGGGTAAATGGTGTTTGGTTTAGTTTGTGTCAAAAAGCTTGCAAACTTAAAGTACTGTATAATTGTAGATTATTATTCTAGGTTGGTTACAGATAATTTACATCCCATTTTTAACCAAGAGCAATTGTTGACAGAGATGGCATGTAAACAAATGAGCTTTGTGTGAAAGTAACCCTATTAGTTGAATCTAAAGAGTGACCTACTCTGATAATTCTGTTACAAGAGATTGGCTTCAAAGAGTTACCAAGAAAAGGAAGCTCCACAGAGATTTCCCATTGCAATGATTTTTGACTGATACAATAGACTGGTGTACATTTATCTTTCATCTCTGCAGATAATACATTTGCGAGTCCAGGGCATGGAGAGGCTACATTCTTTGAATGATGAGTAGACAGTGACTGGGAAAAAACATCATGCTTGCTAAAGGGTCAGGGAAAAAGAGAAGTCCTCTTAATGAGATGGGCCAACATAGTGACTACAATCATAGACTCAAGCACAGCAGTGATTATGAATATAAAGCAGAACGGGACAGTGTTTTGTATATAGGGTCACAATGAATTGGAGCCAAATCAATGGCATGGAACAACATCATCCTCTCCATTATTAGGAAGTCCAGAGTTTGGCACAAACTAGGTTTTTCTCTATATAGGAGCTTCAGATTCAGTTTTATGACACAAAGAACCTAATATATTTTTTTTCTCCAAGTTTTATGACAGTGAACAAGGGACACTGGTGGAAATAATGTTTAGAGAAATTTTATTTCGATTGACGTAAGTCAGATAGTAAAATTAGAAATCATATCCATTATTATATTATTGTCTGAAGACATCTTTGATCTTACAAGTCACATCTATTCACAGAGAGGTGCAAAATAAAGGGCAGGGGAGTATTTTATTCAAAAAGAATGTGTTTAGCAATTGTTGGGGAAATTAAAAAAACCAACCCCAATAAGTTATATGATCTATCTCCAAGATGCTTATATTTTAGTAGGGAAGATAGATATATAGATTAATGATTGAATAAAGAATAAATACTATGGTAGGACATCGAAAGGAGACTCAGAGAATAGGCATCTGAATGAACAGAGGAGTCTGAAAAAGGATCTAGAAAGAAGTAAGCTAAATCTTGAAGATGAAGTTATATTATCCAAATGGGAAAAGAGAAGTGTGAGAATTTCAAACTGAAGAAACAGTATGGCCCTCCAGACAATTAATTGCCATGCATCTAAAAGTTGGACAATGATTAAGTATGACAGTAAAGAATCAATGATTATGAGTTGTTGTGTTAGAGAAGAGTACTGTACTGACTGCCAAGAGAACAAATAGATCTTGGAGAAAGTGAAGCCAAGGTGCTCTCTGGAGGCAAGGATAGTGAAACTTCATCTCACATACTTTTGGCATGTTGTTGTTGTTGTTAAGTGCCATGTCACAGATGACTCACAGTGATCCTATGAATGAAAGACCTGAACACTTATATAACTTTCATTGTTTCTCTAAGTTCATAGGGTTTCCACAGGCAAGCTATTTCGGAAGTGGATGTTGTTAGGAGTCCTTAAAGAAGGACATCATGCCTGGAAAGTTGAAGGGTCAGCATAAGAGAGGAAGACCCTCAACAAGATGAATTGATAAGGTGACTGTAACAATGGCACAATTGTGTTGGAGATAATGAAGATGGCACAGGACAAGGGAAGGGTCAAATCTGTTGTTCATAGACTTGATATGAGTTGCATTCAACTCAATGGCACATAACACCACCATTATTTTTTGCCAATGCTTTCAATGCAGCTTCTTCTACTTCCTCCTTCATTACTATTGGCTCCTCTTGCTCATATGGTACTTCTTGAAATTTTTCAGTGTCAATCAATTCTTTCTGGTATAGTGACTCTGTGTATTCCCTCCATCTTCTTTTGTTGCTTTCTGGGTCATTCAATATATTGCCCATAGCATCTTTCAATATTGTGACACAAGTCCAAAATTTTTCAATTCTTTCAGCTCGAGAATGCAGAGTGAGTTCTTCCCTTTTTACTCTCCAAATCCAGCTCTCTGTACATTCTATTATAATACTTTGCTTTGACATTGAGAAAAATGGGAATCCCAGAGCAGTTGTTTTTGTACTCATGCGGAGCCTATACCTGGACAATGAGGCCATTGTGCAAACAGAGCAGGGGAGAACTGCATGGTTTGGAAATGGGAAGGGAGTGATTGTATTCTCTCTCCATACCTATTCAAATGCATGCTGAACAAATTATCTGAGAAGCTGGACTCTATGAAGAGGAGTGTGGCATCTGGATTTGAGGGAGACTCATCAATAACCTGCGTTATACAGATGACACAATCTTGCTGAAAGTGAGGAGGTCTTGAAGCACTTGTTGCAGAAGATAAGGAATGCAGCCTTCAGTATGGATTATGTGTCAATGTCAGAAAAACAGAGATTCTTAACACCTGACTGAAAGGCAACATCATAATGGATGCAGATTGAAACTGTCAAGAGCTTGATCTTGCATGGATCCACAACGAACACCCTTGGTATTTACAATCAGGAAATAAGGGCACATATTACCCTGGGAAAATCTGCAGTTAGGGACCTTTCCAAATTATTAATGTCAGTTTGAAGAAGGTGCATCCTATTCAGGCCATAATCTTTCTGATTACTAGCTGTGCATCTGAAAGCTGGACAATGAATAAGGATGACAGAAAAAAGAATTTATGCCTTTGAGTTGTGGTGTTTGAGAAGAGCACTGAACATCCCATGGACGGCCAAGAAGATGAACAGATAAATCTTGCAGAGGGTGCAGCTGGAGTGCTCTTTGAGTCAAGAATGATGAGGCTTCACCTGACATACTTTGGGCATGTTGCAAGGAGGTGCTATTCCTTGGAGAAGGACATGATGCTAGAAAGGGTGGATGGTCAGCAAAGGAGAGGAAGACTCAACCAAATGGATTGACATGGTGGCTGCTTCAATGGGCCATTGTGTGAGGATGGCACAGGATAGAACAAGGTTCCAATATTTTGTTCATAAGGTCACTATGAGTCATGCTTGACTTGACTGCACCTAATAACAGCAACAACTAAGTGCATGGCATATTATAGGAGCTCAGTAGCTGCTGAGTCAATGAATGATGGCATTTTTTTTCTCTTCAGAATAGTCTTATTTTGAGCTACAGCTTCATTGAGATATACAATTCATATACCAAATAGCTGACCCATTTAGCACACATAATTTAATAGTTTTTAATATATCCACAGAGTTGTCCATGAAACCCTATACCCTTTAGCAGTAACTCTCCATTTGTCGTCCTCCAAATCCTTATCTCCAACTCTCATGGCTGTTAGCTGCTGTCAAGTTGATTCTAATTCCTAGCAGCCCCACGTGTGCAGGGAACTGCTCCACAGGATTTTCCACCTTTCAGAAGCAGATCACCTGACATGTTTTCAGAGATGTCACATCTTTATGCTCACAGCAGGAATAATTTCTTTTAAAAGGACTAGTTCAAAACTAAGGGAGCTCTGGTGGCCTTGTGGTAAGGAACTGCACTGCTGTTGCAAAGGCATGCGATTTTAATCTACCCGTTGCTCCTGTGCGATTTACTGCCCCTGAAAATCTGCTGGAGGGTCATTATAGGACTTGACAAATCACAACAACAGTACAAAATTGGTTCTCATGAGGCAGAGGTTAAAAATATTCCAAATGTCCAGCTTTTCCAAACTGTTGTACCACTCCGTCACCTCTACCATTGCCTTCTTTCTCCCATCTATGTCCTTGGGCTCCATAGTTCGCTAGAATTCACAGAAATTAAAAAAACCACTATGGAAATGGCTCCCATAGTTGCAGGGGCTGGTACGTCTCAACTTAGATCAGGCTTGTTTGAAAGGCAGCGGCAGGCAGCAGTGGCTTGGAAGTTTATTGGTACAGGCCAAATCATGTAGGTTCTGAGATGGGTGACAGGCCTGGTACCTACAGACTGTGGTTCTCAGAGCAGTTGGATGAGTTTAGATGCATTGTGCAGAGCAAAAAGGAATGAATCTTTCAAGAGTATTCTACTATCAACCTATATTCCTCTATCAGCATTCCTCATATAAAACGTACTCCCAAGAGAACTAAGAGTGATGACTTGGAACGTACCTTATCGATTCAAGATACAACCCACCCCTAATCCTACCTCATTAACACGGCAAAGAACTTGCTTTAAAGAGTCATAAAACAGGTTAGAATTTACAAACATAAAATTAATGTTATGGCTGGCAGGGCCATATTACTTAATTCAATGCACCATAGTCACTAATGCAGTAGCCAGTATCACTATTTCATTCATCTTTTTTGTTGTTGTTGTTGAATAACATTCCATTACAGGAATATACACTTATCTACTGGACTAGACAAGATGCTTCACTATAATCCTGAAGGCATGCAGTTTGAATCCATCACCTGCTCCAAAGGAGAAAGATGGTAGTCTCCTCCTGTAGGATTAACTGCCTCTGAAAACCTACTGGAGGGTCAGCTATGGAGCACTTCTGACTCGACAGTACACAGCAAAAACAATTCATCCACTGATGGATAGAATATCTTTGTTTTAAAAAAAATTATTATTTTTTATGTGTGTACCATCAAATCGGATCTGACTAGTACAGGAGAAGATTGTCCCTCCTTCTTCAGCAAAGCATTTGGTGGATTCTAACTGCACATTTCTGGGAAGAATATCTTTTTAGATAAAATATAAATAAATAGCACCATCATATCAGTATCAATTTGAGTATGGAACACAAGATACTTTGATTTGGAAGAGGAGGAACAAAAGCTAAAATATGAGTTATTATTCTTTTTCACATCACAACCTCTCCAACCCACTCCACAAGGATGGTAGATTTAATTGGATAACCAATATTCAGAAGGCTCTTCTGAGTTCCATCAGCTTCATGGTTTATATAAACTTAAAGACTGTAGTCAAACATTACCTTAACAGTCTATTCTGGCCCCTCAGGCAGATTTATATGTTATTGGCTGTCGTTAGGTGCCATAGAGTTGAGTACGATTCATAGTGACCTCTGAACAACAGATCTGAACCCTGTCTTATCTTGTTCTATCCTCAATTTCTGACACATTCAAGCCCATTGCTGCAGTCACTGTTAACCCACCTTGTCAAGGTCCTCCCCTTTGCTGTCCCTCCACCTTTCCAAGCATGATGCCCATCTCCAAGGAAAAACTTCTCCTAGCAGCATGCTAGGAGTATGTGAGCAGAAGCCTTATCACCCTTGCCTCCAAGGAGCACTCTGGCTGGACCTTGTCCAAAACATGCATGTTTATTCTTAGGCAGTTTATGGGATATTCAATACTCTCCTCCAACACCACAGCCCATTGTCATTCTTACTCGTTGTTCAGCTCTCAGATGCATAGCAAGTGATTGAAAAGACCATGGTCTGAATCAAGTACACCTTAGTCCTCAAACTGACATCACTGCTCCTCAATAATTTGGAGAGGTCCCTGACTGCAGACTTTCCCAATGTAATACTTCTGATCTCCTGACTGCTGGTATCAAGTATACTGACAGTGGATGCAAGTTAAGATGAAGTTACTGACAGTCTCAGTCTTTTCTCCATCTACCATGAAGTTGCCTATCTCCAGTGGTGAGGATTTTTGTTTTCTTGACATTAAGATGCAATCCATATTGAAGGCTGCATTCTTTGATCTTCTACAGTAAGTACTTAAGGTCCTCCACACTTCCAGCAAGCAAGGCTGTGTCATCTGCATAACAAAAGTTATTGATAATTCATAATCTTATGGAATCTTCAATTTACCTTCATTTACACTTTTCTGTTTTGCAATGTTGAGTAGAGGGAAGAGCACCAGGTTTCAAAAGAGCAGAGCTTGGGTGGCCTAGTAGGTAAGGAGATGTGCTCTTTAGTACTTTGGAATGGGTAGCTGTTGTCAGCTGCTGTTGAATCAAATACCATTCTTAGTAACCCTATGAACAGCACACCTGAACCCTGCCCTATCCTGTGCCATCCTCATCATCTTTGACCCACTAGAGCTCATTGCTAAAATCCACATGTTAATCCAACTCACTGTGGGTCTTCCTCTCCTTTGCTGATGCTCCATCCTTCCAAGCATGCTGTCCCTTTCCAAGGAATAGCTGCACCTATCTATCTACATGTCCAAAGTATGAAAGACAAAACTCCCATCTTTGCCCCCAAGGGGCATTATGGCTTCACTTTCTTCAAGACATAGCTGTTCTTTTGCCAGACTGTGGAATATTCACTATTCTTCTAATGGATAGTTGTCATTTGCTATCTAGTCAGAACAGACCCAGAGCTGACCCTCTGGTGGGTTTTCAGAGGCAGTAAGTCACACAGAAGGAGACTGACCATCCCTTTCCCACAGAGCAGCTGGTGGATTCAAACCAAGTGCCTTTGGGATTATAGCACAGTTTCTTACTGCTAGGCCACCAGAGTAAATTCCGAAGAACATGAATATCACTATGAGAACAAATGTGCACGCGATCCAACTCATGGTATTTTCAATTGCTTCATATGCATTGGAAAGTTAGACAGTAAGAAAGAACTGATGTCTTTCAGTGTTCCTTAGTAGGACTTCATTTCACACACGTAGGGCATGTTATCAAGAGGCATGAGTGTGTGGGGAAGAACATCATGATTGATAAAGTAGTGGCTGTTATGTGCCATCTAGTTGGAACAAACTCAATGACCAGACATGAAGAGATTACCCATTTTTTGCACAAAGCAGCTGGTAGATTCTTATCAACTGCTTTTGAGTTGGCAGCACAATTCCTTACCATTCTCACCACTCAGCCAATAGGCAGCATTATGATAGATGGTGAAGAGATGGCCAACAGCTTTAGTTTACTTGGCTCTATCATCAACATTCTTGGTACCAGAAGCCAGGGAATAAAAAGTTGAATTGCACTGGGAAAGTCAGCTGTCAGGGACCTCTCCAGAGTACTGAAGAACAAAGAATCAGTCTGGAGACTACGGTACACCTGATACAGGCCATGGTTTATGCAATTACCTGCTGATGCCTTTGGGCTGTGGTGCTAGAGAAGAGTATTGAATATACCGTGTAATGTTAAGAAAACAAATAGGTTTTTCCTGGAGAGAGTGAAACCAGACTACTCCTTGAAGGCAAGGATTTTGAAGCTCCATCTAACAAATTTTGGGCATGTTGCAAGGAGAGACCAGTCCTTGGAGTGGGACATTATATTGGGAGGTTAGAGGGACAGCCAGCACAAGAGGGGGAAACCCTCAACTAGATGGATTGACTCTGATTAGTGTAATGGGGGTAGGTGTGTCGGAGACAATAAGGTTGGCTCCGGATAGAGCAGGATTTAGAGCCATTGTACATAGGGTCGCTATGAGTTGCAAACGAATCGATGGCACATAGCAACAACAACAACTAAAATTTCTTACCACAAAGCACTGGAACACTCAAAAGCAGGTTTTGAGGTGGAGGATCAGAGAAAAAGAGGATGAAGACCCACAATGAGTCGAATTCACATAGTAACTACAACAGTGGGGTTAAGTACAGCAGAGATTATAAGAATGGTGCAGGATCAAGTGATTCACTCATGTTATACAAAGGGTCCCTAGGAGTTGGAAGCAACTGGATGGAGCCTATCAAGTTCTAATTTCACCACTTTCTACCTGGTGACCATAAGGAAATTACTGATTATGGCTGTGAAAATTGAGTAAGGTAAAATAAATATTTGTCATGTAGTAGAGTGAGAATTACTTTTAAGAAGATCATTCCTTATGCTTCTGATATATTTAAACTGAAATTTTCAAACACAGATGTACTCCTTTTGGGACAGAAATAGTGGGGTCAAAATATATTCCCAAAAAGCAAAAGGTCAGTATGTCAACAATTTGTTTCTAGGAAGAATATGTTAGGGTAGAAATAATTTTCCTAGGGAGAATGTGTATGATTGAATCACCTGAAGCATTTGCCCAGGGAATAAAACACTCCTTCCCAGCCACTCCATTTCAAATAGTCACCTACTTTTCCTTTGTTTCTATGCATAAAAATCTCTAACTTGATAGAGATATGGGAGTGCTTTCTATTTTCACTTAGCACAGCCCACCTCAAGTTCTATTTGTTATTCCTCATTAAAATGCTTTTTCGTTTACTTTTAACGGATCATAAGATTTTCTTCTCTCTCACCCATACAAATTCTCAGGACACTTACTAGAAATTTCATGAAGCAAATAAGAGAAATGATTTGAAAGTTCTAAGATTTCCAGACCACCTAGCAACTTGACATTTCATTGCTACATCTTATCTCAGTCCTCCACTTGCCCAAGCTGGCAGTTTACTTTTTGCATGACTCCCTCATGCCTTTTCGTTTCAGAGTAGCTAATCAGTAATTGTCAAGAACCCCAGAAAGGACGTAACATCTACTATAGGGACATTTGCTTTTGCTTGAAGATGACTACACACAGCCCAACACATGTTTTACCCAGTATTTTCTACTTACTCATCTTTTTTTTTCCTTCTCCGCTCCCCCCCCCCCCCGGTCTCCTAGCAATTTTTTGTATGATTGTTCACTGCCAAACAAGTATGGATTTTAACTCCCCATCTCTCTTTGACCTTCCTGGGCCTTGGTTTTCTATTTATAATTCTCAGAGCCAGTGTAGGCGCACATGACTATTATTTATTTTCCATTTATAAAGCAAGGTTAAACATACCTAGTAAATAATTCTTTTCTGTTAAAAAAGGAAGACAATAAAAAGCATCCTATCTTGTAAAGTTGTTATGAGGATAGGAATAAAGTGCCTAACACACTGCTGGTGCTTAAAAGTGGCCCATCATTACCACAGAATAGGTCTTACCCTTTGCATAGACTCCAGCTTTTTGGGTGGTCGGGCCCTTTAAGGCGGTGGCACCTTAGTTGCCCAGGAGAGTTTTCCCACCCCGCCCCCTGGTAGGGGGCGGGGCTTCCTAACCCGGAACTGACGGCCGCGCGTAGCCGGCGCCGCCAATCTACGTTCCGGAAGGAGCGAACCTGCCAAACGAAGCGAGTGAGTGGAAGCGGCGCCGCCCGCTGGCCGCTGGCGAGGCTGAAACTGGGCGTAACCTGTCTCGTCTCTCCTGTGCCCCTAAAGAAGGAGAGGGAACGGCGTGTCACTCCCTTGCCTCCTTACTCTTCTGTTCCCGAAAAGGGCTTCCTCATCCCCGGCCACCTACGCTTCCGCGTGGGCTGGGCGGGTAGTGCTCACATGCTGATCCCACCGCGGCACCCATACTCTGTCTAGCCTTCCCTCTCGGTCCCCGGCCCCGGCTCCGGCTTTGTCGCCCCCGCCGCCAGAGCGGTGGCCGCTCGTCCCGCCGTTCCTCCATTGCCACCGCTGCCTGCACCATGGGCAGCGAGCAGAGCTCCGAGGCGGAGAGCCGATCCAACGATCTGAACTCCTCAGGTCGGTGCCCTAACCTCCCAGCCTCCTCTAGCTGGTCCTGTCGGCTTGTGGAGCGGTCAGCCGCCCAGGCTAGCGGGGTCTGGAGCCGGTGGGCCGGAATGCACAGAAAGCCTTTTCAATATTTTTCCTTTTTCTTAAGTCACCTTCTGCCTTAGCCTCAATTCCCCTGGTGGAAGTGCGTGCCTGTAACTGAAAACGAAGCCAGTGTGGGTGCACATTCCCATTATGCGTTTCTTCTGACTGCAACCTGGTCTTTGAAAGATTTGACCTAACGAGGTTTTGGCTCTAGTATTCACTGCTGACATAAGTGTGGCTCATGCAGTGCCTCTAAAATGTGGTTTCTTAAAAGCGGGTCTTTTTAAAGATATACCTCTTGAGAAAGAATGCATTGTAGGTGTATAACCAACTTGAATGAACCCCTGATTAGAAGATGCAGTCGTCCCCGGGAATGAAGATTTTTCCTCAGTATTTAAAATCAAAATGAGTAGAGGTATTGTGCCTAAGTACAGCGAGTGCTTAATAAAACAACAGATGCTTGGTTTAGGTCGATCTGCCAGTTTGTTTTGTTTTTGTTACCCACAAATCATTGAACCATTCATTAGAGAGGCCCTAGACAAGTCGCACTGGGGTTACCAATCCAAATTAGATCTAAAAAAAAAATGCTCCTGGTAATTGTAATAAAAAAAAAATGTAAAAAAAAAAAAAGGTAGAGGTTAACTGATCTATGGACAGTCCACAGTGAAGGGTGTCCTTCAGAATTAGTTCAGACTTTCAAGGCATTGAATTGGATTGGAGCAGCACTTATTAGGAAGCTGTTGTTATGTGTGGTAGGAGGACCCTTAGTTGATCCTCCAGCAGGTTTTAAGTGGAAGTATAAATTGCATGGGAGGAGATTGCCCATCCTTTTCCTACAGAGCAGCTGGTGGATTCAAATTACATGCCCTTGGATTGCAGCACAGCTTCTTATCACTAGGCCACCAGAGAATCTACATAACAGCTACATTTATTAGGGAACACTATCTTTGCTACTTATATTTCCAGGGAAGGTCCACAGTGCTTTTTCTGTCATATACAGTAACCAGATACAGTAACTCTCTGTTGTCTTTGTCAGGCCAGAAGCATATTTTGAGATGGAAGCATGACATGTTTTTAATGTATACTCTCCCACCAACTCACAATGTAGGATGTTTCCTGACGCTTGAATTTTCCCCTTTCCTTGTACAAGCCAGATGCTTTTACATGTAGGTTTGCATTTAATCCAAACAATAACCATTTACAGAAAAGGTAAGGGCTAGAAAGTAGTGAAGTTGCCTTCCCTCTGATCTGGGGAATAAGGAATCATACTGAATTTGTATAAAGAAAAAAAACTCTGGCATGGATTTTGTAGAAAATTAAGTAAATTACCTCAGGAGATTAAAAAATATTTCTTGAAGAATAATAAAAATAGCAGAAATTCACAAAGAGTGGATGATTAGCTTCCAGAAGGCATGGTTTCTTTGGATGGACCTTAGAGCTGTAACTATGATGAGCCTGGGAATACTAACTTCTAGAGTATTAAGCGATCTACAGTTTCTCTTTTGCCCATACCAGGCAATGCATGGGAAGAGGAGAATTCTTAGTCCCAGGAATCCTGTATCATTTGAATCACTTCCTTCCAGATGGATTACCATCTCTCAAGGGACCTATAATTGGCCTGCATCTCCAGCAGTTCTCCAAATGTCTGAGTTTTGCCTACGTCTGGAATGGAACTAGTGTTATTTTTGCTTTTCTTGGACTAATGTCTGTAACTTGGAGAGGACCAGAGCCTCCGGGACGGATTTATCCTGTGAGGTTGAGAAGCAGGGATTTTCTCCTGAATAGGTGCTATTGGACACACTTGACCTAATAGTGTGGATGAGCAGCTTAGCAACCCCAGTGTCATGGGTGTGGGCCATGTACAGCAAAACGCACAGACTTTCATTTCCTTCCCAAAGTCTGATTTTAGCACGGTTACTCTAGGGCAAGTCACAGCCAACTTTGGTACCATCATTTCCTTAGAGTAAAATGAGGTAAATGTTGGGATAATCAATGAAGCAGACATTTAAAACACAAAAGGTTAGACTTTCACGTGCAAAATAATGCTTCTTATTAAGAAACACACACACACACACACACACACACACACACACACACACACACATCTATATATATATCTTCACTTCCTAAACCACATGCCTTTGGAAACTATGTACTTGGAGAAACGACAGTTCCTATGGGAAGGCATTAGTTCTTTTGTTTATAGAGTTGCTATGAGTCGTACTTGACTTGATGGCTATCAACAACAATACATGTGTGTGTATATATATTTTTTTTATTATTTGTTTATTTTATTTGTTTTTGTGTACTGCAGAGTCGGAACCTACCCAGAGCCTGATGCTTTGCTGGGTTTTCAGAGGCAGGTACCCACGGAGCAGCTGGTGGATTTGAAATGCATGTGTTAAGATTGTAGCACAGCTTATAGCCACTAGGCCACCAGAATCCTCTATTTTATATTTATGTAATGTTTATTCTTAATACTATAGCAGCAACAACAACAACATTCTAAATATTAATATATAAGCCTCTTATTTAGAGTCAACAAGATCGAGGAGGGCCTTTGCATTTAAAGTTGGTTGTTAATATCTTTTGGAGGAACGTTCTTCTAAGTGGTGCAACACTCTTCTGTCAATATGCTATACTGAAGTGACCTGGAGTTTCTGCGATGCTTAACCTTGTGCCATTGATGTGTTAAATGCCGTAACGGTTACCCATGGTGGAGAGTGTTTGGTTGAGCTCCCAGTATAAGCCAGGTTTGGAAGCAGGAGTGGCATCCACTTCCTAAACAGCATGCCTCTGGAAACTCTATGAACTTTGATAAATGATGATAGTTATAGGAAGGCTTTAAGCCTTTTGTTCATAGGGTCACTATGAGTCATGCTTGACTCAGGGCAATCAACAACAACAATAGAAAGTAGAGGTTCTCATAAATCCCCTAGTATCTCTGCTGCAAGGTAACCAAAGTTAGCATTTTGTCATGTAAAAATATTCTTTATTACTGTGACAGAGAATTTTGTGAAGTGTAGATATCCAGCTAACATGCAACTCCTGAGCACTGTAACTCTCTTTTCAGTGACCCCTTCTCCAGCTAAGCATAGAGCGAAGATGGATGATATTGTGGTTGTAGCTCAGGGCTCTCAGGCCTCACGGAATGTCAGCAATGATCCTGATGTCATCAAGTTACAAGAGATTCCAACTTTCCAGCCTCTTTTAAAAGGTAAGGGGTTATTGCAAGAAATTTTACGAAAAAAAATGTGTATAAATTGTTGCACAAAAAACTAAAATAAAAAGTTCCAGAAAAGAATTTCAAGAGGTTGTTTTACCTTATGAGGAGTAGAGATTTTTTTTTAAAATATTGATTTGCTTACAAAGTTTGTATACATTGGCTTTCACACTATTCTTTATTCACATTATGTTTTATGCAGTCACTCCTGTGCATTATGTTTTACAAAATTAATCACCATTGAATCTTGCCCATCATTACCTTGTCTTTTCAGTCCCTGCTGGATCCTACTTCCTTCACCCCCTTTCTCCCTCCAACCACTAAACTGTGCAACCTGTGGTTTTGCCCTTACCCATCTTCACCTCTCCACTCTCAGCCCACTTAGCATAATGCTCTCCAGTCTCCCAAGTCATGTAGTATTTTTCTAAATCATTGCTTCTGAGTGCTACATAGTATTCTTTTGTGTGAACTTACCACAATTTCTCAATCCTGTTTGATTTTGGTTGGACAGTTTAGCTGTTTCCATGTTCTTGCGATGGTGAATAATATTGCTCTGTACAAATCTCCATTTGTGTCTCAGTTATAATTTCCTTGGAGCATATTCCTAGTAGTGGAATAGCTGGGCCATACAGAGTTTCTATGTTAAATTTTTTGAGGAAATGCCAAACTGCCTTCCAGAGTGGTTGTACCATTTAAAGTCCTACCACCAGTGTGTGAGAGTTCCTACCTCTTCACATCCTCTCCAACATTTATTATTTCCTGCCTACTAAACTTTACCACTGCTACTGGGGTGAGATGGTATCTCATTGTGGTTTTGGTTTGCATCTCTCTTATTACCAGTGATTTTGAGCATTTCTTCTATGTCTGTTGGCCATCTTCATCTGTGAAAAATCTTTCCCTGTCTCTTGGCCATTTTGTAATTGGGTTATCAGTCTTTTTTTTTTTTTTTCCTGGAAGCCCAGGAGTATTCTGTAAACTTTTGTTATGAGACCCTTGTTTGAGATTGTATTGCCAAATGTTTTTTTCCAGTTGGTGTGGTAGGTTTTCTTTTCACTCTGTTGGAAAAAGTTTTTGATAAACACAGAAATTTAATCTTTAGAAAATCCCATTCATCAATTTTATGATCACCAGATTGTACATTTCTGGCTGTGTCTGGCAGCTTCTTTATACTATAGGCCTTCTAAGCTTGGTTCCAGTTTGTCTCTTATGAACTTTATAGTTTTGGGCTTTACTTCTATGTCTCCAATCCACCTTGAGTTGATTTTTTTTTTTGGTATGGTGTGAGATATGGATCCTGTTTCAGCTTTGTACATGTAGCAAGGACTGGAGACTTTGTATAACTATGCTCTTCCTGGGTATATTTGTGTGTTACTCTCTTTATTTCCTTTAGGTCTTTGCTTAATTGACATCTTTTCAGTGACTTCCTCTTTGACTGCACTAGTCAAAGTTGCAATCCTTTCCCCTGCCTGTTTTCCCTCTAACTCTTCATCACTGTTGGTGCAATGTACAGTTTATTTATATTGTCTCTCTTGGGCTGTGAGCTCTTATGATGGCAGAAACCTTGTGTTTTGTTTCCTGTTAGATCCCAAACACTTGGAATAGAGCCTGGTACAAAGTAGGGATTCACTGAATGAATGAGTGTTGGAGCTGACCTCTACCCTTGCCCATGAAATAAATGTCGTTCTTGTCTGTGGCCTGGACTATGAGTTAATTACTTCAGATTCCTAAAAGAAAATCTCCATATCCACTGAAAAAATGGGTAATTAATTCTATCAGATATTTTGAATGAGGAGAATGTGTGTGGTTTGGACAATCAGTCCATATGATTAAGCATATATTGAAGCATAATTTGGGGGGCTGTAATTTTGTTATTTTAGTAACTCCATTCAGCTGTTGTAACAACAGCAGTTATGTGATGTCGAGTTGCCTGTGACTCACAGTGACAATATGTACAGTAGCTCCAAATCCTGTCCTATCTTGAGTTAATTTCATTGTCTCTGAAATGCCTACCCCATTACCCCAACTACTGAGTCAATCCATCTCATCCAAGGTATTCCTCTCTGTCCCTCCACCCTTCCAAGCTTGATGTCCTTCTCCAAGACTGGTCCCTCCTGGCAATGTGTCCAAAGTATGTGAGACAGAGCTTCGGAATCCTTGCCTCCAAGGAGCAGCTTTTTTTTCTTGTTTTCTTGGCAGTCCATGGTATGGTCAATACTTTTCTCCAGAATCTGAACTCCATTCAGTAGCAGAGATGATTTTCCATTAATTGAGTAGGGTTTCTTTCTTCCTCTCCAAGATTAAAACCCCCTCCCCCATTGCCGCCTTGGCAATGGTCTTATTTCAGTATTTAAAATTTCCCATTTTAAAAACTGATAGTAGGTCTATCCCATACGGTTTCCAAGGCTACATAATGCTTATAGAACAAGTCTGCCACACTTTTCTCCTGTAAAGTGGCTGATGATTTCAAACTCCTGACCTTTTGGTTAGTAGCTGAGTGTTTAGCCATTGCTTCACTAGCATTATTTCAAGATTGTTGTTGTTATGTGCCATCAAATCAACTGCAACTCATAGCAACCCATCGGAATCTGGCCCTCTCCTATACTGTCTTCACCATCTCCAGTATACTTGAGCCCATTGTTAGCGTCACTGTGCCAATCCATCTTGCCGAGGGTCTTCTCTGAGGAATTAATAGGGACTGGCTGCTATTAACAACATGCCCAAAGTTTATGAGAAGAAGCTTCACCATCCTTGCCTCCAAGAAGCAAGCTGGTTACACTCTCTCTGAGATACACTTGTTTGTTCCTTTGGAATCCCATAGGATGTGATGTACTCTTCTTGAACCAAATCCAGAGGCACTGATTCTTCTGTCATCCTCAGTAATTTTCCAACTTTCAGATGCATAGCAAGCAATTGAAAAGACCATAGCTTGGATCAGGCACAACTTACTCTTCAACATGATATCTTTGTTCTTCAGCACTCTTTGGAGAGGTCCTTGGCAGCAGATTTTCCCAATGTAATACATCTTTTGGTTTTTTGATTGCCAACTGGTCGCTATGAGTTGCAAGCGACTTGACGGCACATAACAACAACAACAACACCACCACCAGTACTATGAATATTGACTGTAGATTTAAGTAAGATGAAATTGTTGATAACTTCAGTCTTTTTTATGTCTATCATGATGTTGCCTCTTGGCCCAGTGGTGAGGATTTTAGTTTTTTTGATGTTGATATGTAATCAATATTGAAGGCTGTGATCTTTGATCTTCTACAGCAAATGCTACAGGTCCTCAATTCTAATGTAATAAAGGTATCGATAAATCTTCTTCCGATTTTGGTGCCACATTCTTCTTTGTAACGTTTGGCTTCTCATATGATTTATTTAGCATACAAATTGAATAGGTATGGAGAAAGCATACATCCCTGATGGACTCCTTTCTTGATTTTAAATGATTTAAAGAAAAGAAAGGAGAAAAAACAATTGATAAACAACAACCATGCAGTAGTCCCTTACTCTCTCTCAGACAACAGCCTTTTGGTCTAAGTATAGGTTTTGTATGAACATGATAAAATGTTTTGAGATTCCATAAATATAAGGTCTTAGTTTCTTAACCTAGTTTAATATAAAATTTCCTACATTTTTGTAGCTATTTGTATGAAGATACAGTCTCAATGCAAATACATATCATCCCTTTAATTTTTATATCATTAAATAATTTCCTTTAAAATCATTAAAGTGAATGATCTGTACAAGATCAGATGGTACATAGAAAGGTTGAACTTGGAACCTCCTTTATCAATTTCAAGTCCTGTACTAGTTACGTTGTTTGTGTGCCGTCAAATTGGAACTGACCTGCAGCTGACCCTCCAGCAGGTTTTCTGAGGTAGTCAGGGTTGTGTCATCTGTGTAATGTAGGTTATTGATGAATCACAAGGGAGGAGGTTGCTCATCCTTCTCCTGCAGAGCAGCTGGTGGATTCAAGCCACATTTCTTTGGGATTGCAGTGCAGCTTCTTACAACTAAGCCAACAGAGCGCTCTGTACTAGTTACATTAGTCTACCCCGTAAACAAATGATCCTTTATAAATTCATACATCATCTCATTCTTCCTAGTACTTCATGCTTTATAGAGGGGACAGATGTTTTCAGTTTGTTAATCTGTTCTTCCTAGACTTCTCCTTGGTTACCTATCTGACTTTTACATAAATTAATGTACTTTCTGTTACCTATCATCTTACTAGTTTCATTATTTTTAAGAATAGGGTGATTCTCCAGAGAAGTGAAGGTAAATGCGATTTCCATCTTTATATACCTATGCACTCATTACAAGCAGATCAAAAGACAGAGATTTACATTTAAAAGCTTAGAGCTGAATCCTAAATCTGTACTATTATCTCTTCTGGAGTTGCAAGTAGAACTATCCAATAGTTATAGTTTTTATACTGCTTTGTTGTTGTGGATTTCAACTCATGGACATCATGTGTGGAGAAAACTATTCTATAGTCTGTGACCTTTTGAAAACTAGTCATCACACCTGTCTTTTGATGTGCCTCTGGGTGAGTTTGAACCTCCAGCTCTCTCCTAGTTGTTGTTACGTGCCATCAAATCATCATCTCATAGTGATCCTATGAACAACAGATTTGAACCCTGTCCTATACTTACCATCCTGGACACACTTTGCTGTAGTCACTGTATTAATCCATTTTACCGAGGGTCTTCTTCTCCTTCATCAACTCTTCACTTTTCCAAGCATGATAACCCTTTCCAAGGAATAGCCTCTCCTAACAACATGCCCAATGTATGTGAGATGAAACTTCACCATCCTTGTCTTCAGGGAGCATTCTGATTGTACCTTCTGCAAGACATATCGGTTCATTCTTTAGCAGTTGTTAGGTGTCATCGAGTCAAGTATAATTCATAGCGACCCTATGAACAAAAGATCTGAACCTAATCCTGTCCTGCGCCATCCTCATACTTGCTGACACACAAGAGCCC